ACAGATTTTATGTGAATATAGTAACACCCTCACTATCCATGTGATTAAGTGCCAGAGCAAAATGTGGATCAGAGATTAGCACTCTTTATTATCCTCAGTTTGAAAAATTTGGTCTCTTCAAAGCTGGTTTGAAGTTTTAGAAACATTTGGTATAGGGAGTGTCCCAAAAAATGTCCTTTTTAACAGTGCCATCTAACTGCATACATTTAGGTGGAACATCTGACCAGAAAAATGTTAATTTAATGGAAAGTGAATTGACAGATGTCAGGCTGAAGAAAACCCTTACCCAGAAAATACACCTGGCTTCTTACAGTAGCTGACTGTGTTAATTTTCCTCTTAATTCATTTTAGGGAGGGTGTAAGGAATGGCATTAGTAAGTACTCTTGCCTTTCAAAAGGAATAGCCTTTTTTCAAAATACAGCCTTGGCTCTACAAGTTTTCCCTATTTGTGTAGCCTCTTCCCCAAACTGCCTTTCATATATATTCAACTCATGGTTTTAGGTTAGCTTAGTAAGCCTCTAATTTGTCTTAGGTTCATACATCATTGCCGTGATTATTTCTCTCCTTGTTGCCTTGTGATAAACAGGCAACCTGTCCAGGGATTAATTCCCTCACCCAATGATTAGATGACAGAGATAAACATCAGGCCTCCCCCATTAACCATTATTCCATTAATCCATTATTTCCTGTGTCCTATGGGCTATGATTTGATACATAGGCTATTTTCACATACAAATGGTAAAGACATCAGAACACAACATTTAAGCAAGACACAAAGCAAATAGCAAAGAAGTGGCTTATCATAAATTCATATTCACTCCATAAAAGTAAGAATTGTGATAAGCCAGACTAAACAAGGACTCACCATGACTCACCAAGTCTCGATGGCAACCTGTCTCAAGACTTTAAACCAGCTGTCACCAACCTTTTTAAGGCTTAGAGCTACTTTATGGGTAACGATTCAAAAGAAGGCCCACCAATACTGACCATTGAATGGAGGGCGTCAGCGTTCACCTAAAATTATACATAATAAACATATTTATATTCTTTTAATTTCTCATTTTCTTTGAAATATTGTCATTTTGAAATATGGATAAATAATTAACAGGATCTATAAATAATTAAAAAAGGAAACCAACAAAATAAAGTAGCCCACTGGTGATGAGTTGTTC